CACATACCTTTTCTTGTAGCTTGATTCCTTAAGCCTTTAAGAGCCTAACACCCCAAGTGTGATGCCTCAAATGCTTCACACAACACCACCAAATAATGGAATAACTTGAGAGAAGAATCCTTGCACTCAAAAAATCGCTAGCCTTCTTTCCTATCACTTAGGTGCCAAGTTGGTAGCCTTAGGGTCTCTTATATAGTGTGGCAAACTAGGGTTACACATCTAAACCCTAATGACCTTCCATATCCCTCATGCTCCATGGGTTAAAACCCACATGGAGTATCCATGGGTCACCACATGGGTTTAGCCCAACAGGAAGAACTATGGATCATTAACCCACTTTATAAGAATGAATGATTTACCAAATCAACCCCTTATATTTAATTAGTCTCTTTTGATCACAAAATTAATTCCAAACTAATTATTGATCAATACTAATTAAATATTATGATTTCATATTAATATATTAGAACTTATAATATATTAATAAATCATAAATATCATCTTCTCAAAAGTCCATCCTTCAGATTGCTCCGGTGCCATGCAACCCAAATGGACCATGCTACTTTTGGGTCAAGTACATACCAATTATAGTTATGATCTTAGACACTAAATCCAACACCTTCACCCCAAAGAAATCTGGTGCCCCACATCCCCTGAAATTCTTGAAGGAGAGTGTGCGGGCCCCCGACTGGCTAGCGGCCAGAGTGGCCCTGAATATCTGAAGACGATTCTCCATCAACTCCATGAAACCCTCCTTGATCGACTCGAACATCATAGGGTTGCATCAAGGATTCCTCTCATAATCTCACATGCAATGAACTCTCGTAAACCCTCATCAATTGGTTCGGAGCCCGTGCCCGAACCAGATCCAGATCCTGAACCTCCCGCTCCATGACTAGTCATCACCATACTGAAACATTACCACATAAACAAGTAAATTACACACGAGAAGGTTCACACTCTCGAGCTCCCTAGATTCACCATGTTTTTCCCTAGTCTCGGTTATAAATCATGTGTTTCTAGTAGTACGGGCCCAATACTACCTTCCAAACCTATTTATACATTCCTCAAGGACTACCCCGACTCCTCCAAGTTACTCTTCCCAACAGACACATTCCTTAAAATAAAGGGTGTCCTACACACCAAAGCATCTCTCAAGGGTTCTTAAGACTCCCTTCCTCATCCGTCCTACTATTAGCTGTAGAAGGAACTTCTGCATATACTACCTAACTATTGTATGAACACAATTACATACTACCAGTACTAAAAAATGCTTTGAATGATAGGTCTCACACTACAACGGTTGGACTCAAACAAGAGCTGTGCAATAGTGTTAAACCTATCCTTCTAGAATTATCCAATCACGATAGTATGTAACCCAACACATTCATCCACTAACTAGCTAGCATCAGCAGAAATTCCTAAAGCACAAAGCATGCAGTATTCGAGCATCATGCAATTCAACTCATAACATACCCTATATAGGACATCCTAACAGATAACTAATTTGACACCAGCATGCAAATCTAAAATATCATACAGGTAGGCACATAAAAGGCATCTCTCCTAGAATTCTATCATGCAACACTTAGCAGATCCTTATCCCCTATTCTAGCATGTAGTTCTTATATCTTAGCATAAAACATATAACTTGTATGGGTATTTTGGTAAGACTTACTTGAGCTCGGCCGATTACACGCATCACACCCCTTGTCTTTTATTAAAAATCCTCAAATTAAATGTTTCTTTTTTACAAAATTCCTACCAAACCCCTGATTTGAGTCCAGGCACACCTGATAGTATGCACGGATCCCTTAAACCAAGGCTCTGGTACAAACCTGTAACATCCCAAAAATACAGATAAAATTTTGTTTTTAAATTCATTCAATTCATAAGAAACTGATATCAAAATGGTCGAAAGAATATAATTGTAACATGTTATCAAAGTACAAATTCCCAAAATCACTAAGTGCGGAAAAACATAAAGTAATGCGGTGTAATCAGGTCGGGCCCTTCCCCTTCAAACTGGAAGTACCTGAAACATAAAGTGGAAACTGTAAGCACAAAAGCTTAGTGAGTTCCCCCAAAATACCACATACTAAACAATGTACTGCCAAGCATATTTGGGTGCTTTCCTACCCCTTCGGTCTATTTCAATCGGATACTGTCAAGCATATATGGGTGCTTGCCTACCCCTTCGGTCTATTTGAACCGGATACTATCAAGCATATATGGGTGCTTTCAATCCCCTTCGGTCTATTTTAACCAGATATCGGGTCTATTTCACCCCCTACTACTACCTTATAATATCATAACAAGTATCACATAGTCATCAAGAAAATACAGGCATAACCGACCATGGTCAGAAAGACAATCATCACACTACATCATAGACTAGTGGGACAGCATTGGTGCCTTCGACCCATGAATAAGGAGAAGGAAGACTCACCTCAGACTGTGGGTACCAAGTCACACTCAGCGGACGACTCGTGAATTCCTCTCCCTATCGCTCAACATAAAACCTAAATTAGAAATTAGGTCACATTCTAACCCGAAATTCCAAAACCTAATTCTTGACTTAAGGCAAAAAAGGGCTTCTTTACTTTTGCTTCATTAGGCCTCCTTCCTCCCAAGGCCCAAATCCAATCAAAGTCCAAAAAGGGCATCCTAGCCCGTCTATAATGCCTCTAAGGCCCAATATGGCCCAAGAACCCCAAACATGGCCTTAGGCCCAAAAAAATCCTCCTACAATCAAGTAGGCCCAAGGCCCAACTTACTCAAGTCCAAAGCCCAACACCAACCCAGCCTAAAAATGACCAGCATATGCTGGTGTTGACCAGGAGTCGGGATGCTGACCCAGTACGCGTATCGTACACTGGAGTACACATGGCGCACTGGTCTGCCAAACCAAACTTACTTCCATGTCTTTATTCATTAATACCTAACTTTCAAAACTTAGATCCAAGCCCCTAATAACGTCTTAATCCATAAAGTTGCAAACTTTATGCTTTTGCATGCAAGGATGGGGCTCAAATCATGAATCAAGTCTATAAGCACACTTAGATGGTTACTAACACTTGCATGGTTGAGGCTTAACCATCAAGATCCGATTTTTATGACTCAAAACACTTCCAAGAGTCCAAAAGGACAGCTCATATTGTCTGAAATTGCTCATACTCCAAGAATCAAAACTATGGGACCAAAAGATACCATTTTCTACCCTAAACCTAGATCTAAGCTTGTAATGATCAAGGTTCAAACTTTATACCTTCAATGGGCTAGAAATAGTCCCAAACTTCTGGATCTACAAGCTCCTTCCACGTCCTTGCTTTTTCCCAAGCTTCCTTCTCTTTCAAAGTCACTAAAGAACACCACAATCACTCAAGAAAGCTCACAAATGCACTCAAGGTGGCTTAGGGTTCGAGATTTGCACTACAAGAGCAATGGAGGCTGAAAAGGTAAGGGATTTGAGGGACTTAAGGTCCTTAAATAGGGTGCAACCCCTAAAAACTAGGTTTTTCCCCTGGCTTGGTTACGCCCAACGTACGCATGGGTACGTCCAGCGTACGTTGAGGATCCCCCGATGGCATGCATGCAACGAGTACGCCATGCATACATAATGTACGCCTAGCGTACTCACTATCCTTCCCCCACCTTAACTTGAATTGAAAATAGACTAAGTCAAAATTTTCATACCTGGCAACTCGGGTGCTATAAAGAGTCACCATGGTCCGGCCTAAAAAGCCACCGTGGTAACACACCATGGTCTGGCAAAAAGTTTCGACCTAAAAAGCCATTGTGGTAACAGATCATGGTCCGACTATAAGAACCACCATGGTCTGGCACCATGGTTCGACCTAAAAAGGCACTGTGGTAACACACAATGGTCGTGCTATAACATTCAACATGGTTCAACACCGTGGTTCGACCTAAAAAGCTACCGTGGTAACATACCATGGTCCAACTATTAGATTCACCATGGTCCAGTACCATGGTTCAACTAAAAAATCCACCATGGTCCAGATATAAGAGTCACCATGGTCCGACACACTGGTTCGACGTAAAAAGCCATCGTGGCAACATACCGTGGTCCGGCTATAAGACTCATAATGGTTCGACCAAAAAGCTAGGATGGTAATATGTCATGGCTCGGATCTAAGAGTCACCAAGGTCTTACACCATGGTTCGACCTAAAAGCCACCATGGTAATACAACATGCTCCGGCTATAAGAATCACCATGGTCCGACACCATGGTTCGATATAAAATCCACCATGGTAATACACCATGGTCTAGCTATAAGAGTCACCATAGTTTGAACAAAAATCCACCATGATAATACACCGTGGTATGATTATAAGAGTTACCATGGTCAGGAACCATGGTTCGACCTAAAAATCCACCGTCGTAACACAACATGGTCCGTCTATAAGAGTTACCATGGTTCGACCTAAAGGCTACCATGGTAATACACCATTCTCTGGCTATAAAAGTCACCATGGTCTGGCACCATCATTCTACTTAAAAAGCCACCATGGTAAAAACACCATGGTCTGGTTATAAGAATCACCAAGGTCCAGAGCCATGGTTTGAAATAAAATCCACCATTGGTAATACACCATGGTAAAACTATATATACCATGATAATATACCATGGTTCAACTAAAGGCTATCATGGTAATATACCATGGTATGGAAAATATAGTCATTATGATATAATATCGAGATTTAACATAAAATTTTACCCTGAGCATATGTCATGTTCCGTCTTTTGTGTCTTATACGAACATCTAAGAATATTACCCAAAGGAATCATGACAGCATAGGGGTTTATCAAGATTCAAAGTCACAACCACAAAATGAATAGCGTACAAACAAGGGTTTTAAGATGAGCATATTTTCATTAAAAGGATTAAAGAGGCAAAACATAGATTGTGGCAACAATTTTATAGTTGCTATAGTTGTTCGAAGACGTGTGTCCATCCTTTTATATTTACATTTTCATGTAATGTCTTGGCATAAACAGGCAAAAGGATGGAAACACGTCCCATCACAACCAGAGTTGATTTCCCTAAAATGTTTCTTAAAAGACCCCACATCAATTCCTTCAACCTCTAAAATCCTGAACAATGAACAATCATAACTAACCAAATCGTAGAAACGTTGCATCACTAGCTCTCCGGCGTCAGGATAAGAGTATAAAGGATTCTTTTCTTTCAATTCTTGAGGGTACTTGTCCTTCATCTCCACACAAGCTTGGTGCAAGCCTATCTTAATGGCCTCCATCTGAAGAGAAGCATTCGCAGTCCTAAAATCCTCTGAATTAAGCAAGGTACAAACAAAGGATTATATCCCTTTTGTGAAGAGCCAATGCATATCGGCAGAGTGTTGTTCATACATTTGATGATGAAACATAACCTCCTACTTGGAAACAATCTTCTCGGCCTCAAGTTTCTGAACAACTACACCTTTCTCCTTGATCGCCGCCTGAAATGATGATAGTTCATCCTCCAAGAGCTTGATACGTATATTTGTTCCCGAACAGGAAACGTCAAGAGAGGAAACCTTCTTGGTAATGTTGGTTTTAAACCTTTAAATTGCTGGCTCATCTCGTCTAAATTTTTAGCCATAGAAGACATCTGACTGTGGGCGTCATCAACCTTCATCTGTGAATCCAAGTTCAGTTGGTGTAGCTCATCTTTCTTGCGCACAATTTCGCTCAAATCATTTATGATTTTTTGTTCCCAAAAATTAAATCAGCATTTTCACAAGCTATCTTTGTCTTCTCCTCTTCAAGAATTCGGTAGTTGATATGAGCTCCTTCTAAGGCCTCTGCTAAATTCTAGATCCTTGGTGGCAGTAGACGAAGCACGAGCATGAATTCAAAGAGATATTATATTCAAACAATGTAGCCCTTCCAATAGATGAGAATGATCTTTATATATCCCTTCTTCATCAGTCATGTTACCAAGACCGGGACTGTTAGCAAAGGAAGTGTTCGAGAAAGGATGAATAAATGAGGGTACTGAAGCATATAGAAACATTGAGGTTGGTCGAGGAGCCTCGTTCTCTGAATAAATGATATTTTCATTAATGGAACAATCTAAAGTTAATAAAAAAGGGACATAATTCTCATACAATTGAGTAAAAACAATATTGATCTTTTGAGCAGCCTCTTCAACCATACACAGTTTACTATCCAGAAGAGTATTGTGGCTTGCTATGGATGTAACAGGGGCATCTGAAGATATGATGGAATCTAAATCAATGACATCAACACTTGTATGTTGATCGCCTTTATTCTCGACACCTTCGAGATTGTTAAATGCATCAAGTGTGTTGGATACTTCTGAAGTGTTTCAAGTAAACTACTTCTTCCAACTTGCAATCTGAACAACTTCGGTTGAAAATCGAGTTTGGAAGCATCACCAAGAGCTTTGGGAGGAGTTGAAAAATAAGAAATTACAAGAGAAGTCACAACAACATCAGATTGCACATGCAGAAACTAATTTGTTTGTCTCTTTAGAAGCAACGACCAGAGAAAAATAGTCTGGAGCAATCTTCACATGATTAAATAAAGTAGGGTCGGAGTGGATGGAACAGTCATGAAGTTTTGTATTCCCATCCCCAAGTTTCCCTACGATAGTATCAGTCATAGGAGTGGATATCAAAAGGGGAAGATCATAACTTATTTTCTCCAATGGGGTGTTGCCTTTATTACCATGGGAACGGTGTGTATGTCACGTTTGGGAGAAGCAATATTAAGAGATCGTCATGATGCTTTGTCACCACTTCTAGGGGAGTCGGATTATCCGCCTCAGAGTCACCACCTCCATAATAATAGAAGAGATCGGTCGCTTACGCTTCGGTGTTATCTTCACCTTCGTTGATTGTTTGGATGAGAAAGAGGGTGGTTTAGTAGCCAACCACTCAGACTTAACCCCTTTTTACCACCTTTTGAGGGAATAATCAAAGGAGAACTACCAAAATCAATAACCAATGTAGAATCGATGCTCGAATCTGCTTCAGGGTTAACCTCCTCGCCAGAAGAACCTAAAGACCTAGTGTTAGGTCCTTCGGAGGATTTCGATGACCCAGTAAGCCGTCTCTGATGCAATTTCTCAAGAAGAGTAGAATTCTTACCTCGAAGATTAAGAGTTTTCTTCTCCCACCTCAGTCTCGAATGCTATTCATCCTGACCATCTCAACCATCTCATCATAATGATCAACCCACTTGCCGAAATTTGTAGTCGGCTTATCAACAATAGCCTATGCCTCGGTGCTAAGCTTAGGAGCAGGATCAGATTTTTTATCTACATTTACTCTAAAACACATTAGAAGAGTAAAGGCAGAAGCATCAACGAAGAAAAACTCATGTTTCCATTTTTTTCATGGAAGAAGGTAACCATTGCAAATATCAATCAAACCATGACGAAGATAGAAAGAGATCCAGTCGTTACTGACCATTGTTATGTAGAAATGACGAAACAAGTGAAGGGTAGGAGCAAGATCAAGAGATTTGCGGTGCATGAAACAAAACATTATTTTACGAAAACAAATGGGAATAAATTGAGCAATGTGATGACTATAATAACAAAGGACTACTCTTAGGAAGTAAAAAGTAGATAATCTCAAACCTGTCTTGAAAATTATTGGTATACCCCCTACGAAGCCCGGAGGAGGATTTGTGATAGACTGTGAGACAGATGGAAGTTGTGGTATACATTCAGAATCGATTTGGTAAAGCTTAACGATGTCTTCTATGTTTTTGGGGGTAAGGGAATATAGAGTCTTATGAACACTCCTGTTATCTTTCACCATTTCCATAACACAATGAAAGCAAGAACAGGGAAATTCAAAGAGAGAGAAGTGGCGAGAATTATAGAAAAAAGAGAGTGGGAGGTTTCTTATGATAACTCCCACTTTTGTAAGATCGATGATCATAATAATAAAGTGACAGTTATGGAGACGATAGGGTAATGATAAAGGATAGGTTTATAGAACCGTTGCGTCAACATTTATGTCTAGGTCAGACTTATCCACTTTTTGAAGCCTCGGAAATAAAGGCTAATTCGAATCATTGTCACCAAAAATTAGAACTAAAGGGCTTAATGAGGTATATACCATTTCAGTTGTATAATATCCACCTAGGTCGGCTAGGCCGAACTGCTAATGCCCCATTAATCAGGCTAAACCTGTCCTTTGGTAAATACTTTACCGAACCGAAGAACAAAAAACCAAACCATTATAAAGCAAGATCGTGCATAAATACTCGATGGCAAGACATATATGGATAAAACCTCGATATCACCAACGAATAACCTGTAAATTACCATTAGAAATCAAAATAGTACACTTATTCTATTAGATATGACAGCTGACCCTTCTTTGGGTAAAACCTTTTGTACCTTCGGAAAAATAAGCATTAATGACGACAGGACTGATCCTGCTCGGTCCAGCTAAGAAAAACCTTTCCCGGTGAGAGAATGATTAAGATCGACCGGAGTAAGAAAAATATGTATGCAATACTCGTTACATTTTACTGATCAAAATGAAAGTAATATTCAATCGATATCTAATTTAACCATCAGAGCGTTTTCTCGGAATCTCTTCCCAATGAAAATATGACCGTTATCTCGCATTTTAGGTCTGGAACTCTGACTTCCTCTAGGATAAATACGCATAGATTTTCACTATTGAAGCCTAAAAATTAGAGACGCATCATGTACCATTTTACATCGAGCTCCTCATCTAAACCTCTATAACCTAATAATATATCTTTAGTCCTCCAATTGTACTTAACAATACTCTTTACAATTGTCCAGAAACATTCATCCAAATTCTATTAATATATGGTAATCATGCTCGAATCATATATGGCATTATGTATAATACATAACATGAAATACATGATGTGTCGATATAATAACAGAACCATAGGGAACCTTACTCATGCATTTTATCTCGTCGAGTATGGTGGGACATTTAGAATTGCTAAAAATTATTCCATGTTTCATAATTAAGGTCACGCATGTGGAATCTTGTATGTTGGATTTTTTCAAGATTTTTCAATGCATGTACTTGTACTGAGACTTGTTATTTATTTAGATATATCCCTATGTATCTTGATTCCAAATATATATTTTTTTCTCCTTGATTTTTTATGGAAAAGAACTTTCCAAGCCAAGACTTGGAGTCTTGCAAGATAGGAATATCTTTGAAGCTTGCTGACTCTTTTACTATACACTGGATTCATAAGTCCTGGTTGCACATATTTATGTACTTGATTTGGTGACCATTCAACAAGGTGGTTTTGGCATTTATTTATCATATCTTTTAATCATAATATGCATCAATGGAAATAAAAATACTTATAACTTTAATGCTAGCATTATAGATACAGTTTCTTCGTAGTCAATACCATGAGTTTGTGTGAAACCTTTCACTATGACGTGATCTGTGAAGTTGTGTATGTTTTCATCCACTTCTTCTTGAAGGACTACTTACATACTTCTTCTTGAAGGACTACTTGCACCCAATATGTTTGATGTCACGTAGAAAATCAACTAAGTTCAAAACTTGGTTTTCTCTTATGGACTACATCTTTGTATTCATGGTTTTAATCCATTTGTTAGAATCAACACACAAACAAACACACACACACACACACACAAAGGCATAACATGAAACGCTCGACATTTATCGATATTGCATAAGTTCTTGATAGCCCTATATATATATATATATATATATATATATATATATATATATATATATATATATATATATATATATATATATATATATATATATATATATATATATATATATAGGGCTATCAAGAACTTATGCAATATCGATAAATGTCGAGCGTTTCATGTTATGCCTATTCAACAGAGTGCTCCAACCTAACAAGTTGTTTGATAATGATACAAAAGGTGTTGTATTTGATTGTTTCCTTGGGTTACCCTATGACAATATATGTGACAGTACTAGACTTTAGTTTGCTAAAAGTCACATGTCATGTGTGGGCTTCATAAGTCTTCATATGGGTTCCCAATTAGGTTGTCAATGTATCAAGGAGGAGCTGCCAAGTATAAGGGTGTGCAGAAAAAACTAATCGAATTCAAATAGATTGACATATAACGGATATCCAATCACAACTGCATTGGAGCGGTTCTAAAATTTCAATATCAGTTTCATTGGTTCGTTTTTTGGATATTACGATGATAATCCAATTACAAATTGAACGAATCCTTTTCCAATTACTATTCAACAGGATATATAATTAGATATCCAATTGGCTATCTAATTTTCATTTAGATTTATCCAATTAGTATCCAATTTCAATTATTAAAAATTGTTAATTTAGATATTTGAATTATTTATAAACTGGATGAAAATTGGATATGTCTAAATGGATAAAAATTGGATGAAATTTGATATATTCAATTGTGGATATCCAACATTAAATTTCAGTGGATAAATTTGATCCAATCGAATTTTCAATTGGTCGGTTTGGTTCGGTTGGTCGTAGTGAGTTGGATTGGATCGGTTGGTAATATGCAATATCTAACGGATGATTGGATTTGTTAAGTTCCATAAAAAATCATTGGATATCCAATGATGAACACCCCTAGTCAAGTAGGCCATTAGTGAGATTTTA